TTGCAGCAAGTAATGCAACTAAATCTACTTGTGCCCCAAGGTTAGGCTTAGCAACCTGCCTCTCATGCTGCATAACATAGTGGAATGCAGTCTCCATTGAGGGAAGAGGTAGCATCATAAGTAAATTTGTTTTAACTCCAATGTAAGCGTCATTCAGACCAGTAATGAAACGAGTAACAAACTCATTTTCTCTATATTTCTTCACTATGGTTTCAGTAATACAAGGCATAGTTTGGTTTGTATTCTCTCCACCACAAGCACATTCAAAAATAGGTAAAACTTGGACCAGCTCTTCCCAAAACCCTTTCAGATTTGAATAAAATTGATTAAGAAATATGTTACCTTGTTTGACGGTATAGAGAGATGTTTGCATATCTGTAATCCTGATGTTGTCTGCCTACCCAAATCGCTGTCTAAGGTCTTCCAAAAGTAACCTTGCATTGTCCTGAGAAGACACACTATGAACAAGGCTTGGATCTAAATATCCCAAAATCATGAAATACACAGTTGTGTTGCTTTGTTCCCACGCTGCATAGCCTTCATCAGTGGGAGCTGGGGATGGAATAGTCCTAGTGATAAACCCAAGTTTGTTCGTACTCTTGAGAGCAACTCGAACAGTCCTTCTCCAAAAGTTGTAATTAGTTGTCCTAGAAAGCTTGATGGGGAAGACCAACGATTCATTAGGGTTGATGTAGAATGGTTTGTGACTGTGCTAGATTTCACAAATTCCACTTAAAGGCTTTCACAAATTCAGATTGGGCGGCCTGTGTTGACACACGCCGCTCCATTACAGGTTATTGTGTTTACCTGGGCAACTCCCTGATTTCCTGGAAAAGCAAGAAGAAGCAGACAGTCTCCAGATCTTCACGCGAAGCAGAGTACCGCGCTCTAACATACACAGCTTGTGAAATTCAATGGCTGCTCTTTCTCCTACGTGATTTTCAGATCCAGCATTCCCAGCCAGCAGCTTTGTATTGTGATAATCAGAGTGCCATCTATATCGCGCACAATCCCACATTCCATGAGCGCACCAAGCACATAAAGCTGGATTGCCATCTGGTGCGCGAAAAGATTCAAGCTGGTACTCTCAAGCTTCTTCATGTCTCCTCATCTCATCAATTGGCTGATTTGTTCACCAAACCATTATCCCCAGCCCCTTTTCAGCAACTTTTTGCCAAGCTCGGTGTGCACAATCTGTGCCCACCAGCCTGCGGGGGGTAATAGCAGACGCAGAATAAAATTTTCAAATGCAACGGTCACCCCCCTTTTTCGTGAAGAAGGTTGAAGAAGACGACTAGTACGATGTCATTCTGATACTTGAAGCTCACCTCGCCAATGCGCACCGTTTCTCCTCTACGTTGCGTTCTGATATTGTTTGTTTTCTGTTTTCTTTTCTTTCAAGCAAACCTCTGTTTTCTTTTCAAGCAAAAGAACAAACAATCTATGGCAGCAGTTCACCTCACTGTCCTGTAGTGAATCTGCTGCCTATATATGTAATGATCCAAATGCAATGAAGACAAGTTCTAGGGTTTTCACTTCTCAAATCCTTTGTTAGTACTAACATAAGAAGAAAGCAATAAAACAGTACTAACAGATTAAATAACAAGACTATCTAACTACAGTAACTGACCAATAGAAACGAAACACGTTGTAACGTGAAACGAAAACAAATGATACTAACGATTAAGTGGGGTGACGTCGTGCGAGAACTAGGGGTGTCAGTTCGGGTCGGGTTCGATTACCCAAACAGAAACTCGAAAAAACCCAAAATCCCGAAACCGAAAATCACTAAAACCGAATCCGAACCTGATAAGGATTTGCGGATTCCGGTTATGTGAAACCCGAAAATTCCTTATCGGATTCGGTTAAAGCAAAACCGAAACCCGAAAACCCGAACGCCTAAAAATACGGGCTAAGTTCTATTCATTGGAGGTTTTTAGCCGGAACCCGAAAAACTGATAAGCAAAATCTAACCCGAACCCGAAAAACCGAAAATGTATATAATCGGGTCGGTTTCGCGTAAACCCAAAAAACCAAACCCGAATGGACACCCCTAGCGAGAACAACGATGTCGTATAGGGCTTGTTCAAGTTAGACCTGTGAACCAAAAGAACCTCAGCTGTGATGACATGATACTTCATGCCACCAGTCTGCAGACTAGCCGTATGAGGTAGCTTACGAAATGCAAGAACCGAAAACAAAAGGTCTGCAATGAAACATTAATATATATAAAGGAGAAGTGAGGTTACTGTTGCCTAATTAATTACAACTTAGTACTTCACTTCTCCTTTATATATATTAAACCTCACTTTTTCATACATTTTACATTTTGATACTCCAAATTTAATTAAATTATAACTTAGTTACTATAATGTATATTTTATATTTTGATACCCAAAATTAATTTTAATGTAAAATCATTGAACAATTATGTTTTGGTATCTAAATTTTATGAGATTTTTTAAATTTACATATTGGTCCAACGCTTACATATTGGTCCAATGTTTAGATTTCACTTGAATTCATGAATCCAATCCACCAATTATTTTGAACCAATCCATGAGTCCAATTCACCATAACATAAAAGTATAAATTTAGTTTGTACCATACAATATATTGTATCACTCAACAGTAGGAGAAGATTCGACCATTTTATATGTGTTCATTATACGAAACATAAAATAAATTATAAAAGAGAGACGACTCTAAAATATTGCAAAAGCGAATTTATAAACTCATTTAGTACAATTACGGGGGCACTAAACAAACTTCTACTAACTACATGTAACAAAAAATGTGACATCTACATAAGCAAGTGTCAATAAATTGCTATGGCAAAAAGGGTTGACTGTAGTATTGACGGCCAACTAAAAGAATTGGTCAAAACCTTTCCATCATCTACTTCCTCTTCGTTTTATTTTTCACTCGCCTTCCATAGCACTTTCTTTATTTCTTTCTTTGCCTTCTTCGTCCAACCCTAATTAGTATACTATTATTTTTATGCATTCTAATCACAAGTATGAACGAGTCCATGCACGACTGATCAACAGTTTAGAGAATTAATAATTGAACCATGAACCACTAACTTTTTCAGTTCAATGTCGAGTCCAATTAAAAGCATATATATATGGTTATTACTTATTAAAAAATTGTCATTTTCCACTACGGGATTTGAATGCGTGAAATTTTAAGCGAGTTCCAATTTGTATTACTTTAACTTCTCTCTAGAGTTTTTCTTTTTCACCCGGGCTAGAATTTTCAACAATTATACATGAAATGTTTGGCTAGGTATCTACACATATTAGATAAATAGTTTTCATTTTCTATAAAAAAAAGTAAATAATTATCATATTAAATATATCACTATAAAAGGAATTAAGCCTCAACTATGAAATTATAGTTCAGTACTTAAACATATTAGATCTTTAGATTTATAACCTAAATTTTTTTTTTTTACATATAGTCCTCAAAATATTGATAGGACATTACCTTTTAGTACCTATAATTTTTTGTGTATTGCATTTTGATACCTAAACTTTTGAAGTTCTATAAATAGGTCTAATTTTTGTATGTGTAAATAAAATACTCTCGAATAAATGAGTATTCCTACTCAATTCATACACATTTAGATTATGGAAGTAAATATCTATACCCTACGCAAACCCATCTACAAACTCTTAAACTCATATATACGTCACTTATACCCTACCCAAAATCAATTGGTCTAGTTGGGTTTAGGTAAATATCATTTATTAGCCAAAATTTTCAAAAATGGAAAAATAGATTGGATGTTGACCGCCATATTTCTCAGTCAATATTACTAACAAAAATGCTAACTAAAAATTAATTGTAGACTAATAATACTAACAAAACACTATAACGGGCTACATAATACATGTCCATATGTCATGTATACCTCGCGACAAGTCGCGGCATCGCCACCTAGTATTAGTTAAAACTTTAAAGTAGTTTTGACACAAATTCAGTTTTAAAAAACCCTCACTGGGTAGATCTGGATGAGAATATTACACTAGTAAATATTTGTTTACTAGTCAGATTTGGATCCGTAAAAACCGAGAGTACGTACTAGACACTGTAAAACATTAATCTATGTATCCATCATGTTGGCTGTATTACCAGGAAATCAGTAAGAAAAACAAACTTGATTAAAACAAACAGTAATATTATGCAGAAGCCACCCACCTTTGGCCTGGTATCTTTTCTATATAAAGAGGGTTGCCCCAAAGGTCTTAAACCCACACTACTACTACTACTACTCAGCTTAGCTTCTTGGAGTTCAATATATTTCTCCATCTCTTCTTTCCTTTTTGCTTGGCCCAACGACATGGCTCGTTTTCGAGGGTTTCCAACGATGTCATTTCTTCCTGTCCTCATCTCAATAACCCTACTGCTGGCTCGTGCCACGGCGCAGATTCCTGTCATCCCTGACCCTTGCGCGGGCTACGACCACCCTCCTACAGGCACCGGCCTCCTCAATGGCCGCAACGATTTCCCTCCTGGCTTCGTCTTTGGCACTGCCACTTCTGCTTATCAGGTAAAGCTAAGCTACCTAGCTAACTATTAATTAATCTGTTCCGAGTTACTTAATTTCCTTGGCAATTAACAAATCGTGTAATTCGTTTGGTGAATCAAAGGTCGAAGGTGCCGCCAACACGAGTTGCAGGGGGCCAAGCGTATGGGACAAATTCGCCCATGAATTCCCAGGTCGATCTCTATAGCCAGCTACTCTTGTTTCCTCTTTTCCTGTATATCATATCGTGGTATATCGTTAACGATTTCGTTTCGTGCAGAGAGAATTGCTGATGGAAGTAATGGAGATGAGGCCATTGATATGTATAACCTGTTTCGGGTATTAAGTCTACTTATTTATGCAATGCAATGCAGCGGAGCGCAGTGCAAATACGTACGTACGTATTTGATGTGTATTTATACTCGGTACTTACGAAACGAACTAATACGTACAGGAGGATATACAAAGAATGAAGTATATGAATGTGGATGCTTACAGGCTCTCCATCTCCTGGTCTCGAGTTATCCCATGTCAGTAGCTGTCTCCATATATATATCTCTACTAATCTGATTTTTTTTCTTCAAGCTAATTTATCTAATTTATGTGGTGACAATTTTTAAAATTTTGATATCAGACGGGAAACGGAGCACAGGGGTGAACCGCAAAGGAATCCAATTTTATCACACGATTATTGATTTGCTCCTAGAAAATGGTGAAGATTTTTGGCTTGCTAAAAAAAACTAATATATATAAATCAAATTGGAAACTGATTTAATGAAATTCTAATATAATGCGTATTTGTGTGTGTATGTTACAATAATTGAATCTAGGTATCGAGCCTTATGTCACAATATGGCATTGGGATACCCCTCAGGCACTCGAAGCCGAGTACGGTGGCTTCTTAAGCCGTGACATTGTGTAAGTGACGAGGGGATAATATATATATATATATAGTTACGTACGATGAATCGATCACGTGATTTCGAGTACGTAAAATCTAGTGCATGTTATGTTATGCAGGAAGGATTTTGAAGATTATTGTGACCTGTTATTCGAAGAATACGGTAAAAAGGTAACGAAATGGATCACGCTGAACGAACCGGTGACTTACGTGATGAGAGGCTACGACGAAGGGCTGATGGCACCGGGGCGCTGCTCGGTGTGGGTTAACCGAGCATGTCTCGCTGGAAACTCCGGGACCGAGCCTTACATCGTCACCCACAATCTCCTTCTCGCTCATGCCGCTGGTTATCGGTTGTACGAGCAGAAATACAAGGTTATTAATTGGCAGCTTAGAACCTACATTCATTCAAGTAATTAATCTCTAGTCACTAATTAAGTAGTTAATTAGTCGCCGTTTGTATTTTTTCCGGTTGCTTGTTTTGATCAATAGGCAAGTCAAGGCGGGGAAGTAGGAATCACCATTGTTACTTTCTGGTTCGTTCCTTACACCGATACCCCAGCGGATAGAGATGCAGCTAAGAGATCCATAGACTTTATGTTTGGGTGGTGAGTATAATTTTTCTACCTCATCCAAATTAGTAAAGCTCTAATGAACTAGAATATTGACTCGTTTTAAATGAATCGCGTATACAGGTACATGGATCCCATAACCTATGGTCGCTATCCGCAGAACATGGTTGACCTCGTCGGAACTCGCCTGCCCACCTTCAACGATGAGGAATCCGCATCGTTGAGAGGGTCGTACGATTTTCTGGGGCTTAACTATTACACAGCGTATTACTCCATGAACAACCCCAACTTCGACCCTGAACATCTTGAGTATCTCAAGGATTCCCACGCCATAACTACAGGTAAAAATGAGTTATATTATATATATGCTTCAGGTGTGGTGGCCTTGTGAGTTGGCATATTGTTTTGCAGTGAAAACTTTTGCGGTGTTGTTGGATGGATTGATTGCGGCTACCAACACATATATACAACTCTACTAATTAACTCGTTGATGATTTCATTGTTTTATGAACAGCGACTGGGGCCGATGGAAAACTCATTGGACCACAGGTAAATAAGCAAAAACATCAATTGGTAAAACTACGTGGCTTTAATTTGTGAACTTGTATATTGAAAATTGTTTGATGATGATGATCAAATTTGTGCAGTTGGGTTCGTCCTGGCAGTACCTGTACCCACAAGGGCTTCAATATCTTTTGAACTACACCAAAGATGAATACAGAAACCCTCACATATACATCACCGAAAATGGTAATCTGCCGGTTAATTAACTCTTAGTTTACATATAAACAGTTTCTGAGAAGGGTAATTAAGCTGATTTGATTTTTTATTGTGTTTCTGATCATTCGATTCATCAGGACTTTCTCAAGAGGACGATCCTACACAAACAATCGAGGAAGCGACACAAGACGACACCAGGATACAGTTCTATGACAGCCACCTCGACAGTGTCCTCCAGTCCATGACGTCAGTTTTAATCTTTAGCACATAATTTTCCTGATAATTATTATTAATAATGATTGGGAACTAATTCGATCATGGCTTGTGTTTACTTGAATATAATAATATGTGCAGCGGTTACAACGTGAACGTGTCGGGTTTCTTCGCGTGGTCGTTTGCGGACAACTACGAGTGGAACGATGGGTACTCGGTCCGGTTCGGGTTCTACTACATCGACTACACGGACGGTCAGCTGACCCGTTACCCGAAGAGCTCGGCCTGCTGGTACACCAACTTCCTCAACAGGAACGCTCCCACGGGCCAGACCCTGATCCGCCAGAAGGTTCATAGCAGTAAGCTGCAGGCCCGGCCCACCGCTCGCCGCTCTGCTGCAGCACTTGGCGGACGCCGTGCCCTCCCGGCCCGCCGATTCTCCCGTTGGTGATCTGCCGTCATTGATAAACGGCCATCTCTTATTCAGATGACGTGGTGGTAGGGGTTTACGATTTGATGCAAGAATAAAGAGCGATGAGGATTCTGTCCATGGACTGGGCCTGCCTGCCTGCCTGCCTTGAGAGAAGATTAGCGTAGAAGCGTTTAATTAATTAATCTCCATGCTGTAGGATTTGGGGCTTTCTCTGGGCTTACTTGTCGCCTAGTGTAGTGTTAGAGTTGCGTGTTTTCACGCTGTGCGCGCGTTCTTTCTTCCTGCAGTAGTAAGCTGTGTTTCACTGTTTCTCCAGCATCGAATTAATAAAAACTAGCATTGCGCCCGGCCCGTTGGCCGGTGTCGTATAAAACCTATCCATGAATTTTATTTTATACTATTTGAAGAACATATAAAAGATTAAATAGTAGAATATGTAGAAAAACATTATGCTTAACCAAATCTTTCTCTTATGTTTATTACAAAAATCGGTAGTTTGTGAGATTTTATTCCATGAAAAACAACACAAATAACACCTATATAAGAGCATTATCTTTTGACAAAAACATCCATTCTACTTATCAATTCGAATCCTTCAAATTTATAAGCAAATAGCTAACGCCTCAACAAGCAAGAAAGAAAGAAAACACCAGCAATCAGATCATATAAAAAATACAGCAAAACCTTGCAAGTGGATTTCATTCATAAAAAACAGAGCTACATTCAGACTTGACTAACCTTGAGATTGATTTAGCAGTTATGAACCAAACTTGAGAAACAAAAAAGACAATACATAAGGGTAAAGCTATCCAACGTATGAGAAAATAATTAAAGGAAAAATCCCGCATTGTATTCCACAAATGAAACTGAGCAAAAGAAGACAATCCATAAGGAAAGACCTAAAACAAACTTTCAATATCAACCTCAATGAAACATAACAGGATAATGACAATTTATTAGCCAAACCTTTTTCGAATTCTTTTTTATTAGCCAAACCTATCGAAATACTAAGAATTAGCCAAATGTTAACTTTCAGTTAGCAATTTTGTTAGTAATATTGACTTGGCAACATGATACTGACTTGGAAAAGACACATGAAGGTCAACATCTCAAAATTTTAGTATTTTAACTAAGAAAAAGAGTTACAAAATTATTAACAATAACGTAAAATTGGCTAATATTTTGATGCATTATGAAAGATTTGGCTAATTAATAACATTTTAATAAGTTTGAATAATATAAAAAAAATCTGAAGAAGGTTTGAATAAAAAAAATAGACATTTCCTAACATAATACTAAACTTCACATAGATGAAAACATAATATTAAATTGAAGCTTCACATAGTGGTCCTTAACTACATAGTTTTTGGCAATACTACTTCCCCTCCTCAGGGTCACAGTCGACAACACGTGTTTCCTTTTCAACTCTGTTAAGATTGTCCCACCAAGGTTCTCAAGACTTGGTGTCTCAATCAATTGTTGCTACAATCAAAGCATGTTAGATTGATTTATAGATTCTGCAACAACTTTTAGCACGGTGGTATGTTGCTGGTGGCTTGGGGAGCTTCTCATATTTTGTTATCGCCTCATCTGAATTCCCCTCATTTAGATGTTAGAAACTGACATGATGCATTTTTTAAACATGTAACTTAAGTGGGATCTGTAGAGGAGATAGTAACATGGAGTAAGATAAATGTAGTCCACAACATATTGGTTTCAGACAATTATTATATGAGAGCACATAAGCTAAGTACTTGAGCTATGAATGTTTCAGTTTTTTTTGTAATGGTGGTGTGATTTTATTAAATAAATAAACAGTTATAAAAGACACTAAACACAACAAAGACAGACTTCTAATGTCCCATCTCTATTTAGAAAGACTACTACCCTACACATCTTCTAAAGGAACAGAAGGGGCCGGTGTGTACACTCCATTCCAATCGAATATGAAGACTCCATATCAAAACTAAATGAAGCAACAAAGGACCAATACCAAACCTCATCACATCCATTTCTAGCACTCTCATTCTCATTCTGGTCATCGTAAGACCTAGTTTTGGTGTTAGGGCCATTCCCATCAATGATCATGTCTGGAGGGGTGATAAAGCTCAGGCTCACCTAACTAAGACAAATAAAAAGCTTAAACTCGTCCCAATTAAAAATGGAAATGATGTCATGTTAAAACGAAATAGATTTGAGTACGAAAGAGTTTGTTGGGAATTAATCGATAACTATTACTTTACACCGAGCGAAATATATTCAATTTGACTAAGATGGTTTAAATGCAAGTGCTATGGCTTCAGATAGTATGATGTTCTATGTAATCTTTGAGCAATTGTGGAATGTACAAATATGGAATTCGTTCATCTAAAAGTTGGCATACCTGAAACCCAGCAACAAAATCTTCGGAATCATTAGATTCTGGGAAACATGAGGTAGTCCAAATGCTGATAGGGATAGTGGTTTCATGGCTTACTGTTGTCAGAGCTTTTTTGAATCGGTGTAGGCTCAAATTGGGATGCTCAAGATTACATAGCCGATGCAAGAGAGAGATGCTCGACCATAAAAAAAAAATAATGCACCCTTTGCAGTCGCCAGTTGTTGCATAGCCACGAATGGAAGCACAATTACATTATAATCCAGGGAAGTGAAGTAGCATCACATTATTATCACAATTAAATAATGAACACATTACTGAATAAATTTTCAAGCATTCCCCAGCCACTTTCTGGTCGTGTATTACATCACATGTGGTGCCGAATCCACCCCTACTCTCAGAGACATCAAGTTGAATTGATGTAACTCCAAGGGCTGTAACAACTACCGAAACCCATAGCAATTCGGCGCCGGAAATAGAATCGAAGATTGGATAGAAAAGGGAACCGAACAATTCCAGCAAAATCCATCAATAATCTGGGGTACAGCTGCTGTCGAGATAACAAAGTCAGCAAGACACAGTAGCAGCAAGGGATGGAACAGAGAGACGGCGAGGGAGAGAGCCTCCCGAACAACCAAGCCAGCATAATCAAATATTTTAATCCTCAGAATTGTTACCTTGGGGAGCACAAATGCTGTTGGGGTTTTAGACTCGGCGAGAAACAACATCGGACACGGATAGGGATAGGAGAGGAAGAGTCGAAGAGAGATAGAGAGCCACCTCTCTTACTGAAATTGTAATAGTTTTTCAAGAAACGGACTGAAATCTGCAGGCAGCAAAGAGAAATATGAAGTTATGAAGATTGAAAATGCTATTCCATTCTCATTTTCCCAGTCGGAAAGAAAAGGTGAAGTGGGCGGTGGGTTTAGAAGGGGAACTCCGGAGGCGTTTCGGGAGGCAGAGAGCGAGTGGAAAAATAGCAAACAAATTGACTGATTTGTCCCTCCGAAGTCTGCGGCAAATCAAGGAGGGGCTGACGTGGAGAATGCAATATATTGACATTCCTTTATAGTAATCTGTAGATGAGGGTAAATTGCAAGTTTGATCACTAGAATTACTTAAAAAGTTTATGTTTGTCACTAAAATTAATTTATTTTATTCGTAATCACTTTCATTAGTTCAACAGTTCAAGTATGGTCACTCTCCGTTAATTTTTTCTAATGTGGCAGTCAACTCGAACAGTTGACCATTAAATTAGTGACGTGGCAGATAAAAAATAATTTTAAAAATAATATAATTTCCTTAATTTCCACCTGAGTTTAACAATAAAAATATAAAATAATTATAATCACCAGCCACCGGCCCGAAAAATCCAAAAAATTTCGTTCACCACTCCTCCGTTGCCGTCAAACCCTCGAGCCCTGGAGGAAATTCAGATCATTCCCCTTCGACTCTCTATTTCTTGCTCTGTCTTCCCATTGATTCCAGTAAGGAGCAGACCTACTCTTTCTTAAGGGTTGTCAATTGACAAACTTTAATTTAAGGGTTGGGTCAAGTCAAATAATATAAAAATTAAGACAGGTTTATGCTAGGATTTGAAACCTCCCCAATTTGACAATCCTTGCAAATTGCAATGTGAAATTTCCATTAAGCCATACCCAATTGTTGTTATTGTAATACAAAGCAAATATATAAGTACCAAATTAATTCCTGAGCATATTAAATCATGTGGATTCCAAGTATATAGACTATAAATTATTAATTAAGTTTTTTTTGTCCTCTTTTGAGAATAATTATTATTTTTGGTATACCTGTTGAATTTACGCTTCTACTTGCTCGAGAACTAGTGGCGGTCGCTATTCTTCTTCCCCATCTTTGCTCGAGGGTTTGACGGCAGCAGAGGAGGGGCGACGAGAATCTTTGGATTTTCCGGTCCGGTGGCTGGTGATTATAATTAAAAGGATTATAATTAATTTTTATTGTTAAACTGAGATGGAAATTAAAAATATTATTTTTATTTTTAATTATTTTTTATCTGACACATCACTAATTTAATGGTCAACTATCAGAGTTGACTGCCACATCAGAAAAATTTAACAGAGACTAACGAAGAGTAACCAAACATGAACTGTTGAAATAATTTTAGTAACTACGGATTAAATAAATTAATTTTAGTGGCAAATATAAACTTTGTAAGTAATTCCAGTGACCAAACTTGCAATTAACCCAAAAAAATAAAGTTTGGTCCTTTTTTAAGGATTTTAGGTAGTTCGCAGTTGTCTAAAAAATTACATTGTATATATTTTAATTTTTGAAAAAAGTTAATTTCTGGCAGCCTGTTGAGGAGAAATTGAACACCCGGCATCTACTTATTCTGAAATTTCTAAATTACCTCTCTCATTAATTAAATCTAAAATGTTGCTGATGGAAACCCTAAGCTAATCCTAGGGGCATTGTTAAGAAAAATCTCAAGAGCATAGCCGCCGTGGGAGAAGATAGGGTGCTAACTTCATAGTAGGTTAGCACCATCCTAACTACCATCTAAACCATTTACTTATATTTTAATAAAGGGTATAATCGGAAACTAAGAAAAAAATGAGAAAATGAAATTAATGTTGATTTACGGGAAAGTGCACTCGTG